GAGGGAGAGCTTGTACCTGAATAAAACTTGGTCTTAAAGGTGCCACTGGACTGTTTTGGATTGCTAGCTATGGGGGGGGGACGCACAGATCTGCCCTCACAGAGGAGGGAGAGCTTATGCCTGAAGGCGGGCCCGGGGGGGGGGCTCTGCAACTTACCTGGCTGTTTCTTGCTCCTCGTGGTCTGACTGAGGGCTGCTGGGAGCAGGGGGTGGGGCTTGTTGCATGTGCCCGCCCCCTGGGCTCCTTAGACTTATCCCAGTAGTGACATAGGGTTGACAACCTCCTGGTGGTAGCTGGAGATCTTTTGCTAGTACAACTGATCTCCAGGTGATAGAGGTCACCTTGAGCAAATGGCTGCTTTGGAAACTGGACTCCATGGCATTACATCGCATTGACGGCTCTTCCTTCCCCGAGCCCCACCCTCCTCAGACTCCTCAGACCCCGAAAATATCCAGGTATTTACCAGCTTGGACTTGGCAACCCTACCTGAAGCCTGCTCATACCAACATAGGATTCCTGTGCAGCTCTGTCAGTTTTCTTACTGGTTTTCATTTTCTGTGTCCTTTGAATGAACCTGTTCTCACTGGAAGAGAAACCAGTGCAAATGCATATCAGAATACCCAGTCAAAAGGATGCCATTTGCCTCTTTCCAGTGATTCAGGTGAAATCACTCTGAAGATCTGTAATGTCATGCCCCAGGACAGCGGTATTTACACGTGTGTGGCAACAAATGAACTTGGAACAGCATCCACTTCTGCTACAATCAAAGTACAAGGTACTGATTTTGGTCCTGATTAACATTTATTTAATCAGATGGTACAATGGGTATTTTACAAAGCCTGTTGTATTTTGTAGTCAAACAACAAATATATACACTGCAAAAACCTTTTTTAAATAAGTTAAAGTGTTCTATATGTTCCATCTTATAAAGTGCATTGTGTATTATTCATAATATTCTAAAACAGGTATATATTCGTTACATGCAATATCAACAATAATAATCAGTTTGTACAATCTAATAACTACCGGTCAATTTACATCCTTTTTACACAATCAACCCCCTCCTTGCTTGAAAGTCTTCTAAAGGGGGAAGTTTCCTTTTGTGGTTACATTGAAGTTTAAATTGATGTTTGTTGCTGGTACTACAAAAGGCTGTTAAAAGACATAATTCATGAGTCTAAAAAGTATATAATATATCTAATATAACTTTGGCTTCATGTAGTTTTCTTACTTGAGGATCAATGCTGGAAATACTCGGTTCAGCTGCATGAGTATCCTGTAACTTCTCTTAGTCTAAGTATTATAATTCTATACATACACCATGCCTTGTGCAAAGAGAAATTCCAAGGCCACTTCTTCCTAGGGTTTGTTACCTTCGGATCACAGAGAACACTTACCATATTTTCCATATCGCTTTATTTACAAATACACAAGTAAAGCAAAAGACAGAGGCAAAGAAGCACTTCTATGAGGCATCCTTCACTTGGATTTATAACTATAACAGACTTTTAGATCTTAAAGCTAGGCAGGGCTTTTTTTGTAGAAAAAGCCCAGCAGGAACTCATTAGCATAAGCCGCCACAGCTGCGGGGCACCCAGGCAAGCTGGCCCTTGGACAGGCTGGGGAAGGCAAGGGGAGGCATTTAAATGCCGCCCCGATCCTTCCGCCCCCCGCCGGCCCGGCCGCCTCGGAGTCACCGGGGGTGTGTGTCACTCTCCAAGCCTTCCCTCTGTAGCCACACACACAGAGGTTTGGGCTGTAGTGGGCATGGCCAACTCTGAAGCCAGCCTTAACTCCGTTCCTGTGCGTTCCTGCCCAAAAATAGCCCTGAAGCTAGGAGTTAGGAAGCTCAGGCGGACTGCAGAATCCCATCTTTCAACCCCCTACAGGGCCACATTATTATGGGCTCTTTTTGTAGCAGGAACTCCTGTACATATTAGGCAATAATAATAATGATGTTTTCGATTTATTAATCGCTTTCCCCACAAGTGGGCTCAAAGTGATTTACAGTTACTCTTTAGACAGGGGACTAACAATGTTTCATAGGGGATAGGGGCGTATAACTCATTTTAATTGCACACGCCGTAACTGCATGGTGGAAACGTTTCTGGCTTGGCTCAGTCATGTCCCGAACGGCTACGTCGACCGGCTTGATGACATTGGGGCTTCAGGACTCGTATGTCGTATCACCACACTGCCACCGCCTGGCCAGAGCATCCCACTGCAGGGATTTTTTCATAGCCGAGTAGATTCTTCCGCCTTCCGGATCCTGGACCAGGACGTCCCCAACCGACAGCTAACACCTTCCCAGAGGGGAGTTGGTGTGCCCACCCTCTCTAAGGAGTGGTTCCCATTTTATCTACTCGCCGAGGCTTTCGAATCGCTGGGTGGACGATGAGCTGGGGACAACAGTCTGGCTGCTCACACCAGCGCGGGGCTCGGACTGACACAGTTCGGATGTTAAGACAGTGGGATATACCCACTGTGCCACCGCTCCCCTAGTGTAGCCAATCCTCCAAGAGCTTACAGAGCTCTTCTTACAGGGGCTACTGCAAGTTCTCGGAGGATTGGCTACATGAGGGGTGTGTCGCCTCATATGCAAAGGAGTTCCTGCTACAAAAAGAGCTACAAAAAGAGCTACAAAAAGAGCCCTCACCATTATCGGAAGACCCTGATGTTCGCATGCACGCAAGTATTAGAGAGCAAGGGTGCCACTCTTCCCACTTCTCCTTGCACCCGTGATGAGCAGAATGGCAAGACACTGAGATGAGGTCACTCAGTAGCAGGCAGTCACTGTAGTGCTGTAAAAGGAGGGGTCTGACCCGTCCTCCCTGTAACACAAACGCACTCATACACCAGGCTGCCATAGTCTCTGAGATAGCAACTCTACAGGTAAAGACGTGGGGGATATGATTGCTTATCACAAATGTCTTATCTGGTTTGGCCATAAAGTTCTCTTTTTATGTGCATGTTTATGTAGTTGATTTACTTATTTGAAGTTATTCAATCTGAGGAGTGAGAAAGCATGTGTAGGTGAACACTGATAAGTTACTCTTCCATCCCTCTGTTCTCGTTGGCACCACATGTTAGTGTTGCAAGATAAATATGGGATGAAGAAGTCATTGGGCGAATCTGCATTTGCATTTTAAAATCATTTTCATGCTGCTGTGATGCCGTCTTTCTCTGTGCTTGTTTGAATGTTGTTTGGAGAAGATTCTTTTAAAGCAGTGGGGAGGCGCAGTGACAGTGGAGCCGCCCCGAAAGGACGATAAACATTTGTGGACATGCGAAAGTATGCTAGCACTCTTGAGGTGTGAAAACTACACCAAATGTAGACAGCTTTTTTTTAAGACGGAGCCAAAATGCTGGGACACTGGTGGGGAAGACAAATGCAGATTCTGCCGTTATTGGCTTCCTACTGTGTAGTTCTGCCCCCATCCTTGAATCCAGTACAACTTATGTACTTTTACTGGTGCTATCAAATCTCAAACATGGCATTAAAAAAAAGAAACAAGAAGAACTCAGACAGTAGAGTTCATCGTCAGTTACTTTGGCGAGCAATTTGACCCAGGGTGGACAAATATGAAAGAACGATTCTGCTGTGCAGATCATTACAGCAGCCAGCCTCGCTTTTAGTGAGTCCCACTTTCACTTGCGTTGCAATCAGGAAGCAGCAGTACCTGTGACCTTTCTGTTTTCTTTCTTCCTGGCTCCTCCCACCACCCCAGGTGTCCCAGCAGCACCAAATCGCCCTATCGCTCAGGAAAGAAGCTGCACCTCAGTGATTCTCCGCTGGCTGCCTCCATCCAGTACAGGAAACTGTACTATTTCTGGTTACACAGTGGAATACAGGGAAGAAGGTATGAGCATTACCAGGGCTTTTCTTGTAGAAAAAGCCCAACAGGAACTCATTAGCATAATAGGCCACACCCAACAGCAGAAACTCATTGGTATATTAAGACCACGCCCCTGACAGTGCAGCTCATTAGCCTATTAGGCCACACCCCATGCCTTCCCTTGGCTTGCCCAGGCACCCCCCGGCTGCAGGGAGGCCAGGGAAGGCGTGGGAAGGCATTTAAATGCCTCCCTAATCCTTCCAGGGCCCCCCCCGGCCCGCCCGCCTTAGAGTCGCCGGGGGGGCGCGTCACTCTCCAGGCCTTCCCTCTGGAGCCACGCACACCGAGGTTTTGGCTGTAGTGGGCGTGGCCAACTCTGAAGCCAGCCGGAACTCCGTTCCTGTGCGTTCCTGCCCCAAAACAGCCCTTTGGGTGTATATAGACAGAACTGCATGTGATGAGTCTGGAGATCAGTTGTTTACCTTGACTTCCAGAAAGCTTTTGATAAAGCTCCTCATCAAAGGCTCCTAAGTAATCTCAAAAATAATGGGATAAAAGGACAAGTCCTTTTATGGATCAAAAATTGGCTAATTAATAGAAAACAGAGAGTGAGTATAAATGGGCCATTTTCTCAGTGGAAGGTGGTAAGTAGTGGGGTACCGCAGGGATCAGTACTTGGTCCACTGCTTTTTAACTTGTTCATTAATGATTTGGAGTTGGGAGTAAGCAGTGAAGTGGCTAAATTTGCGGATGATACGAGGTTGTTCAG